AAATGCACTCGGGCAAGAGAGAAAAAAGGTACTCAATTAATCGTCAGCGGGAAAGTCTCGATCGCACAGCCGCGAGAGAACAACAAGTTAGTCGTTAGTGTGCTCGCTAGGATATCGCATCCTATGCCTACATATCTTCGTCTGGTACGAAGAATCAGAGCAGCTGTAGTTCGGCTAACTACGGGACCACAGCTCAAATCTCGTTTTATTCATCTCTGAAAAATGATTACAATGAGTCGAATACTGAAATAAATCTCCTAGGAAACGATCCTATTCTATCTTGAAAAGTCGAATGAAAATAGCCCCCTAACAAATGGGCCTCTAATTCTATCCTAAAAAGTCGGAAAATAAAGTCTATGAAAATATCCCCTAAAAGAAATGCTTAAAAATATTAAATCGAAACTTTAATATTTTTTCTCTTTTTCTCCTTTTCTCATATTTTTTCTTATTTCTCCACATATTTTTTTTCTCTATTTTTTCTCACAATGTTTCTCCTATTTTTTTTTTCACAATATTTCTCTTTTTCTTTATTTCTTTTCTTATTTCTTTTTTATTGTTTTTTCTATTTTCTTTTTCAAGTATATTTCTTCTTACTTTTTTTCTATTTTTTTGTTCAATATATTTTCTCTTTTCACTTCTTTTTTCTTCTTTGTGTAACAAGTAAAGATTAAAAAGAATAAAGAAAATAAAAGGGGCTGGGGGGTTAAACTATTACAAGGGTGCTGTAAGAAAAAATAAAAAAAACTAAACTGGGCCCAGCCCAAGTCTCAAAAAAACGCAGCAGGGGGGTATGCTTGTGAAGTCTGGGTGGTGTAAGCCAGCATTTGGCCTCATTGGGCCCAAAGCCCAGAATATCCAAAAAAACATGAGGGAGTGCGTGCCAAAAAATTGAACTGGGCCCTGGCCCAATCCCTTCCTCCTTCTCCTTTCTGAAGTTCAGAAAAAACCTAATCTTCTCCCTTTCTCTCCGCCGCCGCCACCTCTTTCCATCTCCTCCGTCGTTCACTTCTTTTTGTTCCTCCACCTTTCCCGTCCTAATCCCTTCAATCTTCGAAGAACAACTCAAATATCTGGACACCTGATAATACTCTTTGATTGATGAAGACGTTCCTGAAGATTCATCAACGTCTTTGAAGTTTTCTGGATTCGTGTGGATCTTGGCCATTGTTGATAAACTTCCTGGATTTGAACGTTGGATGAAGATCTGGGATCTTGTTCGTGCTTGATTTCTTCTTCCTGAGTTTTTTCTGGCGTTTGTGGTGAGGACGATGAACAGATCGCTGATGATGATGATGAATATGGACGATGGAAAGTGGTTGGATCTTGGAGTGTTGATCGGTTGAATCTTGAAGAAATTTCTGAAATCTTGATGAATTCTGTTGATGATTGTTGAACGGAGCTTGCTGAAGCTTTTCTGGAAACCAGTTCTTGGATGAAGATAATGATGATATTCATTGTTCTGGAGTTTTCTGAGTTTGGTGATGAATGTTGTTGAGTGGCGATGGAGGATTCTTGCTGATGATTCACATGGATCGGAGAACAACTATGGTTGATGAGTTCTGGAAAACGAGATGATGAATATTGATGAACAGTTCATTGACGATGATGAGTCTTCATCGTTTTGGTTTGTTCTGGAATGATGGTGGAGGTCACGAAGATGAAGGTTAGGTATGGAGGTTGGTGACCGGAATCTGGAGAGTTGGAGTTCGCCGGCGACGGTTGGTGGTGGCCGGAAGTTGTTGGAGGAAGATGATGGAAGGAAGAAGATGAAGGGAGGTTTTCTGGGTTTGGATGATCGCCGGTGAGGGTTTGGAGGTGGCCGGAGTACATGCACGGTGGCCGGAGGTGTGTCTCAGGCGAGGCAGCGTGATGCTTACACGTGGTTGCACGGTGGAGGGAGTGCGTGCATGCCTGCCACGTGTGGGCATGCGTGGCTGAGAGAGAGAGAGGCTTGGGTACGCGTGGCGTGTGGATGCTGAAACTCGTGGGACCCCTCTCCTCTCCAACACGTGTCATCTCTGAGTACTTATAGCTGAGATTTTCTGGATTTCTCTGGATCTCTCTAGAAGGTGCTGGATACAGTTGGAATACGCTGGACATTTGGACTCATTCTGCTTGGACTTTTTGCTGAATATTCTGGATCCTTCTTGGACGAATTGGACTGGGCCTAATACGAAAATGGACACAAACTGCACAAAAAAACTGAAACACAATTATCCTAATTAATAGACCCAATTAACTAAACTAAGTTCAATTAAACTAATTAACTCCTAATTAATATTCTAAAATCTATTAATTTTTTTATAATATCTATAAAAGAAAATAAAACCTATTTATTTTTTAATAAGGAAAAATCTATTCATTTATTATTATTATTTCTATTTAAATTCTATTTAAAAATTATACTAATATTCTAACAAAATCCTATATTATCTAAAAATATTAAAATCTATAAAAGATTTCTACAAATGATTTAAAATCTATTTAAAGAAATTAAAAACCTATTAAATTCTAAAATGAATTTAAAATCTATTATATTCTATAAAATGCTAAAAAATGATTTAAAAACAATTAAAAATATCAAAAAAATCTATTAAATCCTAAAAATTGATTTAAAAACTATTTTAACCCTAAAAAATCCTATAAAAATCCAGAAAAATACCAATAATTCCCAGAGGGACAAAATGAGCACCGAACGACACAAAAATAATCGGTAAAAATAAACGGGCACCGAAAAATCCCAAAAATCGATTCTACTGATTAAAAACACCTGAAACACGAGACGGGAGCTGTGATCCCTGATAAAATCAATACAAATGAAAAATGCAATGTATGCGATATGCAAATGCGAATGCGGTTATGCGTCGAAACATCGAGCCAAATGCGAGACCCGGTTGGTCAAATTTTGGGGTGCAACAATGATATCATACTCTGAACATGGTTATGATGTTTTAGAATCATAAGTGAAAAGATATTTTTAAGAATACATAATTCAACCCCCCTTCTTGTGTATTTTTCTCAACTTCATGCGCTTCCTTTCCCAAAAGTTACCAGTAATTCCATGAAGCCCTAAGGGATGGTTATTGAACCATTTAAACCTTGTAAATTTATCCCATGTATGGTGCCAAACTTTTTTTCCAAACCCAACTTGGTGAACAACTCCACATAGATGATGCAACATGAACTCCTCTCGTCAACGAGAATTTGTGAGACATCATAGTTGGCCAGGGTTGTGCAATTTATTAAAGGAAAAATATCATTAGGTATCTCCCTTAACATTTCGTGGTTTCCAAATCCCAAAATTGGTCGCATAGGGTTCTTTCCCGATGTCTGCTTCCTTTTTAAATTGATAGATAACAATCTCAATGATATTCCTCTTGACATTTCTTTTAGACGAATCCTTCGAGAGTGGGAATTCCCCTATGATTGAGGCAATGGATGGGCACCCTCATGTGATTGAAGTTATGAAAGGTCCTTTAATGTTCTTCTTCAATGCGTTCTCGCTTTTTATTGGTTTTTTACTGCTCAAATGTCTTCCTTAATCATCCTAACGAGGGGATTTTTTCTTCGTAGAGATTCACTCCTACGTGTACATTCTGAGGAGAAATTATGCGTCTCTTCTTGTCACCTCTCTAACCATCTTACTTTGTATACCTTCTAAGTTCCCCCTTCCTGATTAATTCTTCAATTCGATCCTTGATGTGGATGCACTCGTAGGTCTCCCGTGCTACTTATGAAGCCTACAATATTTTGACTTGTTTGCATTTGGGGACTCCTTCACAATTTGGGGGGTATTTCACCTCATCTTCTTTAAACTCGATGATGGTGCACTCTTATAAGATAATTTCCTTGGATGTGTTGAAAGGGGTATATTATGAGAAGTGGGCACGGGGTTTCTTATTCATCCCTTTGTCTCTATTTTTGCGACATTAACTGTCCTTATTTTCTTCAATGGTTTACATTTTTTGATCTATTCAACCATTAGCTTCTCCTTATGCCGCTCACGTTTATGTCTCTTTAAAATCCTACTTTTCTCTAAACATGCTATATGGCCTCAAAACATTCTCAAAGGTACACCATTTTAAATTTTCATTTTCCTTTTCCACATCTACACATTATCTAGTGAATCTATCAATGTATTCACATGATTGTTGGGGTGTGTGTGGGGGGATGTGAATTCTTTTGAACCAAGTCATTACCTATTTCAATGTGAGAACGAAAAATCTTACATAATCTTACATTTGACCTTGCTCCTAACTTGATGTTAGCCCACATATCCACGTGCTCGTCAAAGTCCCTAGTGCTATATCCGACCTAAAAAAAAATTTAAAATATTTTGTATATAAATCCCCTCTTCAATATATCCAACATTTAAGTCATTAATAATAATTTTCTTTCGACATCGTATTAGCATATAAAAATTATTTCATTGAAACATATAAAGTCTAGACTATTTTATAACAAAATGACATTGATTTCAATTTTAAAAGCAAGTGGACTCTAAAGTGTAACCTAAATAATTACATTGTCCCCTTCACATTTTAACCAATTATGTTATTTAAACTACGTGACATAAATATCTATCTTTGTACAAATCAATATAAAAAATTTATAAAAAAAAAAAGTCTCTAAAAAACCAAATTTGAAAATGTAAAAATAAAACTGCCGAACCAAAGTTGATGAACGGGCGTTGAAAGTGCCTTGTTGTCCGTTTATTCAGTTTGTTTAATCATTGTGAGCCTTTCAAACTTCCTATTCTTCTCTCCCCTTCTCTCTCTCTCTCTACTTTGAATTTTCATCCATGTACCCTTCCTTCAACTTCACCCCTTTTTCTTTCACCATCTTTCAACGGTTAGTGTCATAATTCATCTCTTTCATATTAATTTGCTATGTTTATACTTTCATGATTATTGATTTTTTGAGATGTTTGAATTTGGTATGGAGTAGGTATCTGGTGGTATCGATCGGTTATTGGAAGTAAATAAATAAAGCAACTTGAAATGGCGTACAAAGTAGATCATGAATATGATTATCTGTTCAAGATTGTACTCATTGGAGACTCTGGTGTTGGAAAATCCAATATACTGTCTAGGTTTACAAGAAATGAGTTCTGTCTTGAGTCTAAATCTACCATTGGTGTTGAATTCGCTACCAGAACAATACAGGTTCATTTCTTTTACTTTTACTTTTTTTCTTCCTTTCAAATTTTCCATAATTTCTTTTTAAATACTAAAACTGTTGATGGTGTTTAAGAGTGGTCTCATTCCGGTTGTTGCAGCGTGAATTTTGATTGAGATTTTTCAGAAGTAAATTGAGCGTTGGGTTCTAATTTTTGAGTTTTAATGAGAATACTTGAAGAAATACTGAAAAAATTGTGTGACGCGGTTTGTTAATATGGAAGAGCGCGTGATTTTAAATCACATCACATTTGTTGTCTGATACTGTTGCAGAGACTATTGCATCAGCAATATTATGATCTTATCCATTTGGTTTAGAGTTTGATTCCAGGCCGAAAGAGATCTACCATTAGTTCCACCGCGAGTGATAGTTTGGTTTTCCAATGAAAAATATAGTTTATAATAGAGTTATCCTTGTTTTCTCTTCAATTGCCGAAACAGTTTGCAGTAAACACCTCTTCCTAAAGAGCTTCTTGCACATGTTCAGTGATTTGCACTATTAAATTCCACGGAACTAATTTCCGTCACCAATATAATAGACGAATGTTTGAAACAGGTGGAAGGGAAGACAGTGAAGGCACAAATATGGGACACTGCAGGTCAAGAGAGGTACAGAGCAATCACAAGTGCATATTACCGGGGCGCTGTTGGTGCTTTACTGGTGTATGACATAACCAAGCGACAAACATTTGAGAACGTGCAAAGGTGGCTTCGCGAACTGCGAGACCATGCAGATTCCAACATTGTTATCATGTTAGCAGGAAACAAATCTGATCTGAATCATCTAAGAGCAGTATCTTCTGAAGATGCACAAAACTTGGCTGAGAAAGAGACTCTTTCATTTCTAGAGACATCAGCATTGGAAGCCTTGAATGTTGAGAAAGCATTTCAAACCATTTTGTTTGATATATATCAAATTCTAAGTAAAAAGGCGCTTGCAGCACAAGAATCGGCTACTACTACTAGCCTTCCTCATGGTACTACCATTAATGTGTCTAATATGTCTGGTAGTGTTGAAAAGAAATCTTGTTGCTCCAATTAATTACAGGTTGTAATTTGTAGAAAATTTGACGAGGATTCCTTCCTTTTTTTCTGTTGTATTTGAAACACAATTTACATGAAAATATAGTTTGCTACAATGAAGTTAGTTTATAAAAGCACAATAGAAAATGAATATGACAGTAGCAGTTTTTAATTTGCATTTGATGGTTTGGCATACTGATTTTGAAATGCTTACATTCTGAAAAATATTATAAGTTCTTACAAGTTATATATCTCATCACTAAAAATAAAAGATTAGTTATGTTAAAACAAATCTATCTATATAACAAAATAACATGCCGTCGAAAACATATTCTTACCCCCCCTTCTTCCCATTCTTCCAACACATTAAATCAAGGGCAATTTGTGAAATTTTTATTTAAATAACCAACTTTTTTAAATAAATATTTAAACTAATCCATTTTTCACATATTTTTCAAACTAACCCATTTTAAAATTAAAAAAAATCACCACAAAGAAGTCGTTAATTCAATTGGAAACATTGTACAAACACATAAGAAAAATTGACAATCTAATTGGTGACAGTGTACAAACACGGAGATTCTCTTATGTGTTTGTACACTATCACCAATTGGATTGACAATTTCTTTGTGTTAATTTTTTTTTAAAGTGGATTATTTTAAAAAATATGTGAAAAAGTAGATTAATTTGAATATTTATTTTAAAAGGTTGGTTATTTAAGTAAAAATTTTGCAATTTCTGTACAAATATTAGTTTTTTCAACAAAAACCTGCCCAATATTTGCTTCTAACGCAACGTTAGTCTTTTGCACTATGTGCCACCAATTATTCCATAAAATCTAGTTTTGTTTCAATTATATTGTCAATTTTTCTTCTTCAACTTCCAACTATACTGCTCAAACTATAACTAGTTGTAATGTCTTGTCAATCCAATCACTGCAATACATATGTGTACACAAATGTGTAATATACCATTTTTTCCACCATTTTCCCCTTTTTCTCTATTACAGCCCTTTATATATCTGAATTTATTTTTAGTTTTTTCCATTGCATTTTGGATTATGATTTTATCACAAATAATTTACTGATTTTATAATTTTTGGGTTATAAATGAAGAAAATTATTTTTTTTGCAATTTTGATTTTCTTGATTTATGCTTTTAAGTCACTTTCTTCATTATAAAGACATTGTTTTTACGTTTTGCAACTTTTAAAATCTGCAGGGAACTCATATTCATGTCATCATCCCAACCTTCTACAAAGCAGTATTTGATTTGGTCCTAACTGCCAATAACATATAAACAATCGCTAACTCTCAAGTTTAAAATAATGACTTGATGTTCAAGACAAATGACCATAAGTATATCATCAAATTTACTGGTGGAAAATGGAAATATTAATCGTATGTGAATAAACATGCAATATCTAATCTAAAGTTGCACTTCAAACCATTTCGAAATATTATTTATGGAAAATGGAACAATTAAGGATCGTGATGCATTTCGAGCACATTGATGTATTCGTCGAATAAAGACTACAAGTATTCAGTTGTTCGCGTAGTTTTAAAAAGGTTGTCGAACCTACAGGGAAGTGATAATCAAACTAATGCAATCTATTGTTGCAGTGCAAAACTAAGGTTAAAGATTAATGAATTTGAGATGGGAAGAAAGAAATACTAATTTCTAAAGGTTTTTAAAATAACAATAAAAATGAGTCTGGAATATGGATTACGCGTGCCTAAGGGACTTGTAGAAGTCGGGTGCTAATTACGACTGAACTTAGTTCCATAGAAAGTACTAACTTAAAGACTCTATCTCACACTCCCGCGTTATCGACAAGAACCACACCTTTCAACCACAGGATTTTGCTCTCGCTCACCCGTTTCAATTAAAAACCGTATTTTGAAAGTTAATAAAATTATAAACGATACCTAAAATGTTCTCGCTATTTTTAGGATCGATACCTACTTTCCACTATCAGTTCGTCCCTAATACTCTCACGTTATCGGTTCGATCTTAGTATATTCCTCACTCTCGTGTCGAAATAATAAAACATAAGGAATTAGAAACAAAAACCAAAACTAACATACAATCAATAATTTCGCGCCTAAATTTTCTATAGAGTCTCGTCGTAACAACGGTCCTCGTACGCCAAACTCAATTGATTTAGTAAGACATATTGGTATTCAAATCAAACATGGTAATGATAATCAAATTCAGAACTAACATGTTAGACTAAACTAAAGTAAAACAAATGCAAAAGTAAAAAATAAGGAAATAAACTTGTAAAATAAATTCGAACTTGAATTGAAAATTATGTCGGCAGACTTGTTTGTAATCCCAACGTACAACAGTTAAAAGGTAAGAAAAATAAAAGGTGCGACAATTCCTCGATGTGAGTAATTGTCGCTTTACAAGTAAATTTATGCCTAGAAATTTTAAACGGAATTCTGCAGCGCTTCTGTACAGTTTTGAGGTGTCTGGAATGTGTCCAAGAGGTGCTTTATATAGATGAATTCAGACTTCCAACAGCTCTGGGTGTGGCCTCTGAGTGGAGGGAAAGAAGGAAAAAAAGTAACTGTTCAAGACAGTTGCAGAATTTGAAATCTGCAACTGCGCTGACATGGCGAGCGCCATTGGGTCATGGCGAACGCCATGGCCTCCATCCAATTATTGACGCGGCGTTCTGATAGATGGCGAACGTCATATCAGCAAAAGGGGCAGAAAGTCTTCTTTTTGCTGCATTTTCCTATTCTTTTACTATTTTTCCGCTTCGCTCCCGATTCCTTAACAAATGAAGATATCAACTGCAAAACACAACAAAACATAGTAAAATGCAAACAAGACTCGATAAAAACAGACAAATAGTATGCGTAATGAACCTAAAAATATGATACGATTTTTCGTTATCAAATTCCCCCACACTAAGACTTTTACTTGTCTTCAGGAAAACTCCTAACACTAATGAAAACAGTAGGTGCAGTATTTGAAACGTAGGCATGACATGATTCTAAAATTGATACGCGGTTACTAGGTTAATGCTAAAAAGATAGGTACTAGATATTGATACCAAGGATACTGTAATGACACATATCCGCATTTGCGGACAAAGACTCCCCTTATGCAATACCAATCCAAATCATACCATTATGACTCGACCTCCATCCCTCGTTTATTTTCAACTCTCTTTCATTCTTGCGCGATCACATTAAGCCCGTTATCCTCGCACTCGCATGGTAAGTGAACATGTTAGTATTTATGATCTCGTTATTCAACTTTTTACTCTTTTTCTTCTTTTCTTTTTCTTTTCTTTTCGAATTTCAGAGATCTGATCCGTTGGGGTAAATGGTCGGGTGAGGGCCACCTAACTTAGAGGAAACTGAATCTTTTCATTCGCTTTTCTATAAAACATCTCAACTCAAATTATTTTTTGAGATCACCATATATTTGCATCGGTTCATTACTTAGCGTGTGCCTTAGGATGGTGCTGACTGCTAACATAAACTACTTAAGAGACTACTATATAAACTCGAAAATCAAGGTCTCGGCATAATAGTTATTTAGATCGATATTGCATACTTAGGGAGTCTAGGGTGCTAGGATGGTACCGATATTATCAAAATTTTCCCAAGTCTAATTAACATAACCTAGAAGTGAAAAGTGTCATGCCAAAGAATCGAAAAGAAAAAGTTTTCATTGGGGGCAATTTTTGTAAGGGGAATTATCTAACAAAAGAAAAAGATAATATACAATAGGACTCAATCAGCGCACAAAAAGACTCGACACAACTAAAGCAAAAATAAACTAACTAGAAAAATATAAAAGCAACATAAAAATGACGAAAAAGTAAGAGTAAAGCGATAAAAAAATACTCGACACAACTAAAGAAGAAATAAACTAACTAGAAAAACATAAAAGCAACATAAAAATGATGGAAAAGTAAGAGTAAAGCGATAAAGCTCCTCCCCCCACACTTGAACTAAACATTGTCCCCAATGTTTTAGTGCAAGGTGAAATAAGGAATAGAGAAATCTGGTGGAATCAATGGTGGCGGCCTCGGGCACGAGGGCATCCAGATCATCTGCCAAGGGCAAGGTTAGGAACGTGCTGGACAAATTCTCTCAAAGATGTCACCTTCATCCTCATACCCTCTATCTGCTCAGTGAAATCTCCCATGTCATGCTCTATCCTATCGACAAAGTCAACCTGCTGCTGGTTTTCCCGGTCTATGGCAACTCTGAGGTCCTCTTGCTATCGTTGCATACTCTGAAGCAGTAAATCAAGCTCAGCCTCCCTGTCATTCTGATACCATAGCTCAGATAAAAAGTCATCTAGAGCGCTCCGAATGGCGACATAATTATACTCCTCACGGGGCTAGTATGTACCTGAAAACTGATTAGAAAAAGGAGGTGCAGTGTGTGCACGGGTATTCAGCTCTGGAATATCAACAGCATTGGCACGGGTACCAATTTGTGGAGCATGCCCTATAGTATCGGCATAGGCCCTGTTAACAGTCTCTTCCCCAAGGTCGGGGGTCTCAGTATCAAACAACCAGTTAGTGCTAATGTGCACATTAATGTGCGTCGCACAAGGCAACGTAATTCTCCTCACCTCCCTGTTACTAATCATCAACCTATATTTGTCATTCGACAGATTCTTAATGAGGCGCATGTTGCGGCAATAGTCTAGGTCAGTAAAAGGAATGGCTAACTGCTCAAGGGAAGCCAACTCAGAAGTCAAGCGTAAAGCATAGGCTATGGAAGTGACTACACCTCTTACATAAATATGGTCGTCGGACCTACCGGAGGCAGATGGAAGGCGAGATAATAGGAAAGGGGTAGGGTTTACCTTGGTTTCAGACAATGCACAGTGGATGAAGAATAGGTCTTTGGAATTTACATTCTCAGTGTTCTCTCTGCCAAATATGGTATTGGCTAATATGCAGTGAAGATACCATATGGCGGGGGTTATGGATTGCGGTGGCTTATAGACCTTCTTCCCAAGAGGTGGAGGTCTTACCAA